GGACATTTGGCATTCCGCTCAACCCGCGCGTGGAACCATTAACCACTGGGCCCGGGCTTAACATTACTTACATGTACCTGGAATATGGCAGTCGGTTCCCCTAAGAGCACTCGAGGTCCACAAGGAGACAGTCAAATCAAGGACTGCATAGAAGGCGCTGCAAACATCGTAGATAAAAATCTCTTCTCTGATGTTCTACATACTCTATTTCCAAAATGGCTGTCGCTCCCTTTGGATCACACAAGGCACATAATATCACGATCTGCGGCGCTGAGACTGTGGCAGTAACCTAGACAGGGCATTGTACCAAAATCCAAGACAACCAGCGACACAAAGCTGAAGGCGCTGGTCCAAAAGAATCAATTCCGACCTTGTGAACGTACAATGGGTTTGATCTACATTTACCAATCATCGTTGAACGTAGCTGGTGCGAAGAGAGTTTGAGAAAAGTTTGCCGCATCCGGCAGACCCTCCCACGGCGAAGACTGAAAAACAGCAGGTGGAGGGTATCTGAGGTCGAGATGCAACCCACTTTGCACGAACGATTGCAATTCCGGACGGATATCTAGCTGCATGTCCCGCGAAAAGCGGATTACAACACGCTTTAGCGCCCGAGTCCGCGATTTGATGAAGCGCAGGAGGGTTTCATCGGAGAAGGAACAGCACCGGCGGTCGTTTATTTCCAAGACTTGTAGGCCAGGGCAACAGAATGCGGAGAAGTCGGAAGATGGAATAAGAGACTCCAGAATCTGATCGTCGAAAATTCCGTAGCGTCTGCGGAAATGGCTGATCCTAAGTTCGCAAACGGTAGGCGGTAGCTCGCGAAGGAAACCAAGGAAGGATGCCTTTGAGAACAAACCCATGTTGACATCCAGGCTTTCAAGGCGTGGGGCAACAGCGCTGAGCAAAGGAGCATCGGATACGGTGTCCGAGTTGACATTGTCGAGCGCCCCGGGCGGGGGGGGGATAGTATCGGACAGTCCGCGGAATCTTAAATTACGCAATTGCGGCAACGAGAGGCGAGCGAATAGTTGGCGGACCGTGACGGTCGAGGATGGGGTGGGGCACTCTAGGTCGAGTGTATGAAGAAAAGGAAGTTCGATGATGGGCTCTTCCACTGCGCTGTTGGTATCGAGACCGTCACGAACGCGGAACCGGCAACTCCGCAACTGAGGACACCGGGACAATATCTGCAGGGACATCTCCCCCTGTGTTCCCATCATTGAAATGTCGGTCAAGCGGTTCCAGCGAAGTGGTAATTCCAGCGGGGCGAAAATGAGAATGCTTGAAGAGATGGAAAAGGAATCAATCTCGGCCCCACGAAGGAATTGGAATATATCCCATCGGACACTGTCCCACGGCGATCCATGAATTGTGATGTCAACCGATTTGAGTATTGGCACATCCTCTGCGGTGAGGTGTGACAGTGCCTCCAGAACGGAAGGCAGCATCGTGAAACTGATGTGCTTCCAACGAGATGCGAATGGAATCACGGCCTGAATGAAGCGATTAGGGGGGCCTGGAGTGTCGGTGGGGTACGCCATGAATTGGAGCGATATGGACAAGGGGCATTGTCCGGATCGACCAAGCCACGTCCTGGTGGTCTCGAGTCGCGGCTCCAACTTGTCCGTGGAGGCAGCAGGTGAGTAGCCTTCATGATGGGGTAAGGGTTCAACAATGTGAACACTCGCCCAAAGTCGTGGTGTTGAGAGAGTGATAGCTCTCCATGAGCTACATATGCGGCCAAGGAGGACGGGCGCCTCCGCGGCGCTCATGACACAGTTGCGATGCGTTGGAAGGCAAGCTATGAATATTTCCTGAATGATGTCGAGCGGCAGGCGGCGAGCCGGGGAGATGAGGTCTCTGTGGGCGTCCACGTAGTCACTGAGCTCGACACGCTGCTCTATCAGCTTATCGAGGGCCATCTGTAAATCGGCGATTTCAGCGTCGAGATGCTGCAATCGAAGAGTCGGTTCAGCGAGGAGGGTTTGAATCTCCGCTACTTCTTCGTCCCGGGGGCAATAATTGGTCCCTAGCTTCGAGATGAAAGGAGAGGACATGATGACGCTACGACCAGTATCACGCGGAGAGGGATTCATCTGGATGTGACTCTGAGTCAGGCTCATGATGCGCAGGTGAATGTGGGAAAAGAATCCAAGAATTGATCGCCGCATCGCGCCTCTATAGCATGGCGGGTTCGCAGGTGAATGTTACAGGGTACGCCTGCGATCAAACGGTGATGTTCCGAATCATGGAACGTACCCCGTTTTTTTTTTGGTCTGTTTTTTTTTTGGGCCAAACCAACCCCATATTATCCCCATAAGGGAATCAATCATCTCGGCGCACTGAGTCGCTGAACGCGACAAATCGGATAAGTATTTCAGAGATCAGGGATCTGCTCTGCTCTGAATTGACCTCTCAAGGAGGGGGAAGGGAGGAACGAGACCAGCTATGTACCTTTAATGTCTCCGTATTATTAGTGAAAGCCTAAAGGGCTACAGGCGGAGAGCACAGGTGGGGTGCGGGGTGGGATATCGAGCGGCGCTGAACCCCGGAGAGAGCTCAACATTAGACTTTGAGCGTGGTGCTGTCACTACGACATCTGACATGTTTTGCTTTTTGTTTTTGTTTTGTTTCATGTAAATTTGAAACCGAACAAGTCACTTATAAACAAAGACTCACCAATCGCGACGACTTATTGGTTTTTTTTCCTCTTCGCTTCTTGCTATTTCTCTTGCTCACGACGACCACGCTCACTTCATTCCCCCTCACGTCTCACGATGATCGCAACCGCAACCTCAACCGCTCTGCTGCCCCCCACCACCCACTCCGTACCGAAAACCCAGCGGCTGCGGCTCATGCGCTCCGCGCGCAAGCTCGGCGCTCTACTGGGCACGACACCGCTCCTTGTCGAGCCCATGCCTGAGCCCATTTCGCCGCTCGAGCCCGTACCGGAACGCCCCACCACACGCACATCCGTCCTATCGTTTGATTCGTTCCTTGCCGGCGAGCGCGACCCGGCGGACACGAACCCCGCAGCGCTCCTCCCTGCCATAACGACCACCTCCTCATCTCGGCCAACCCTCCTTCTGCGCATCAACACCGCGCCCCCGCACGGCGCCCGGCCGCGGGTGCGCTCGCAGGCCTGGGGCCGCCCCACCTCCTGCGTCGGCGCGCCGCCGTCGCCGATTTCGCCCGAGGCGGACCAGGTCGCACCGCGCGATGCGGTGCTCACCGCGCGGCGCATGAAGATGGCGCGCCTCGCGCGCACGCTCGGCGAGAGCGTCCCGGTGGAGCTCGTCTTCCGGCCCACCCCCACCCCGCGCAGCAGCGCCGCGTCTGCTAGCGTCTCGGAGACGGCGCAGCCCCCTCCGCCGTCGGAGAAGCTCTCGTTCGAGCGGGGATCGCTGGAGAGGATGCCGCTGCCGCCGGCCGCGTTCGGGTTCATGCCGGCGTCGGAGGACGCGGAGAGCGTGAAGTCTTCCGGGCGCGCGTCGACCGGCTCGGAGCGGCCCTCGCCGAAGACACCGTGGTTCCCGTACAACATCCGCCGCGCGTCGAGCCAGAATTGGCCCGTTACCTCGCCGGGGCGGCGCGGGCGCACCGCCTTCGTGAAGCACTCGGAGCCGGGGTGGACGGGGGAGTGGAACCAGGGCGAGCAGGCCGTGCTCCAGGGCCTGCGCCAGCTGAAGTAAAGGCGCGACGCACTCCCATCTACCATGCCTATTCTTACATTAATTTCATCACTAATACTAGTGCGCACTTACGCTGTGAAACCTGTTTTGTTAAATAATTTATCGTAATTCAACTTATTGCGTGTAGCCTTAGTAACTACTCACCGCGATCAAATGCTTGAATTTTATCGAACATGAGAAAGTTATCCTTCCCTCGTAAAGTAAATTCGATGCTTGAGAATCTGGACGAAAGAGAGTGAGCATGGTCAGCACCGTAACACGCTATGGTGTCCGTTGGAGGGTATTCAAAGAATAGAAGCCGAGACTCACCAGCGATGCCGCTTGCATGGAGGTCGGTGTCCAAAGAATTTTGACGGACATTACACAGAATACTGCTAGCCCGCGGGCGGTTCGGGATCTCCGGCCTATGAGAGTAAATGTGTCCAGGACGAGCAGGCCGTGTGGAGTGTTTCCAGCTGGGGAAGGAGAGAAACAGTAGAACAATTCCGGGGAAACAGTCCCCGCTTGCGTATCGCGCAGACGACACTACGAAAGCGTCTTGCGGAGGAAATGTCAGCGTCTTGCGGAGTCAATCGAAGGGATGATGGACAGACCCGGCATGCGAGTGACGGGGTTCGACGGTGCGGATTCATCATCTCAGATAATTTCTGTGGCGAGGTTCTTTGTGGAATGACACAGAAGGTTGTGCGTGCAGGCACGCCCTTGAAGTACGAGATTATCTCGCGCAGCATTTCTACTGGGTGAGGTTAGTCCGGTGGGGGCTAGCCTAACGGTTTTTGAGAGGGCTGAACGCAATGATTTAAGGTAACTTGCGGCGCCGTAGTTTAAAGGGGAGACGCGATAGTGGCAGACAACTCGGACTGGCCAAGACCAAAGCTCTACCGTGAACCATGAATCATGATTCACGGGTCTGTATCCGATTCCAGTTGGGAGCAGCGTGGTGGTTTTCTTTGGGAAGGATGATCGGAACAAATCGAAATGTGATGCGATCACGTCGGCATTGTACCGAACCGTCCGCTATAGCTTTTCTCTGTCTACATCATCCACTGACTCTCCGGTTTAACGTACCGTGGGTACCTTTAATCTATGTGTACGGTTGGGAATTGCGAGTCACTGAGTGGAACAGCTGCCGGGTGTTGCCAGGCGCACCAGGCTAAATACGAGTTCAACTTGAACCTAATTCACGGGAGACAGTTGCGGCCACCGCGGTTCGGGAAAAAAACGTTGAATGGAGGCAAGCCAAAGGCGGCGGAGTGGTAAAAGTTAAGACAGAAGAAGGGATGAAGCAAAAAAAAAGGTGATCGATGGCCTGCCCTCGAATCGAACAAGGGACTCCTGCGGAATACTGCGTATCTGTCTGTATAAACGTAGCAGGTATGTTGCCTCTACACCACCAGGCCACCATTTCACTCTTTTCACAACTCAATATACCGCGCACATCTAAACGGCACCGAGAAATATAGATGAAAGTCAAGGATCGTTCAGCAAAATCAGAGCAAAAGGGCCGGGCCCTGAGTCGAACAAGGGGCTCCCCTTAACGTTCGTATCAGCAGGTGTGTTACAGGCACACTACCGGGCCTTGTCTGAATGGTGGTGTGAATTGGTTCGCCAGCATTCCTGGCAGAGGGGCGGAGTCTCTAAAGTCCAGTCCAAAATTCAACACCAGCCCATATCCTGGAACAGTGGTTGAACACCATTTCTGGCGGAGGTCGGTGTTCCACCAGGGCTGCTGAATGCTGAACTATAAACACGATTGAACTTGAGATGTCTGGAGCAATTGCAGTTGTGAATGTATGCATATCTATAGTCTCAAATCACGCGCGGACGGTCTTGTACTAACATCGGGATTTTTGGTGGGGAATGTCAACTTTCGGACTATATTTAAAATGTGCTCTGAATGCCCCAAAGCGCTCCGGGGCTCAATATCTGTGGAGGGATACTGTGGAGCTAAAAACGAGGTGATATGAGGCGCAATACAAAAAGGGAACAAAAATGGCTCCAATGGTATACAGATTACATAATCGTTACTGGCTTTAATAACATCACAAATTTGCCTCGACAACATATCGACTCTGCAGCAATAAGGATGGCTTTACGGCAAAAATAGCTGGGAAATAGATAGGGCCCTCCTGGCAGCCCTGGTTCCTTCTCTGGCTGAAATACCATATTAATGTCATGTCGCCCTTAGCCGCTCGTCGCTGACCTCCGGTCGCTCCTCACGGCACACGCGCATGATCTCGACTCGGAAATTGGTTGAGTAAAATAATGAGAGTGTTTTAAAGGATGGCTTGTATGGGAGTCGAACGAGCGACCAACGAGATGACATGCTTAGTTACCTTTGCTGATTTGACATGCTTACAAAGTACAGACGGACACCCACAGCCGCACATAAGTCGTAAAAAAGACAGACGGATAAGCTCTTTACTGATCTGAGACCTGGAACCGGTAAACCGGAACCAGGAATAATGTAGCTGTACATGTTTTGAACACATTCTACACTTGTACCTAGGATAATCAACGTGACTCCAGGCGGGAAACGATGATACCGAACTTGACATTCCCGTATAATAGTAAGCTTTCGATCTTTATCTAAACTCCTCTCCTGCTGAGCGAGTGGGGTTTATTATGAACCTATATGTGAACGAATGAGATCCAGAAAATATGAATGTATGTCCGGAGTTGAAGGGAAAAAAACACGAACATGTAAATATGGCCGGGCCTTGAGTCGAACAAGGGTGTGTTACCGGTACACCACCGGGCCTTGTGCGAATAGCCGTGCGAGGATTGCCTGAACACCGTTTCTGGCGGAGGAGCGGAACCCACTGAAATCAAAATACGATTGGACGTGATATGACGGGAATTGTGAATGCTGGGGAATGAATGTGAGAAAATGGATGAGAAGATGAATGAATATCTGCCGGGAGTTGAAGGAAAAAGAATACAAATTCATCTATACGGCCGGGCTTTGAGTCGAACAAGGGACTCCTATTTAACAAGATCGTCGCTATACTGCTAGCGGGCGTGTTACCGGTACACCACCAGGCCTTGTCTGAATGGCAGTTCGAGGATTAGTTGGACAGCATTATGGCATGCGAGGAGCTCGGTGTTCAACCCACTTACCCAAAACTTGAAATATGATTGAACTTGAGATGGCCGGAGCAACTGCGAATACCATGAGCTGAGTGTCTGGGGGCCGGACGTGCAGCGATTATTGTCAGTCGGGAGAAGGAAAAAAATTCAAATGCATCCATATGGCCTAGCCTTGAGTCGAACAAGGGATTCCCGCTTAACAATCGTCTTCACCGTCATATGCAGCGGGTGTGTTGCGATACACCACCAGGCCTTGGTCGCATGGTGGCTCGCGATCGAGGATTACTTAGCTAGACAGTATTTCTGGCACGGAACGGAGTCCAAAAATCAGATGCCGGTCCTTGCGGAGGTGCGTGATTTGGAGCCCAGGGAACTTGTCGCACGCACGTTACAGGATATTAGACAGCAGGCAGAATTGAAAGTTTAAGTTACAGGTGGGTGCCTTTGAGGGGGCGATCTGCGAGCGCTGTTGGGCTCGGCGCAGCAGGCGGCCGACCGGCTGGTACGGTGTGATGGAGATGCGGGGCGCAGAGGGGCCGGTGGAGACGGGGAGGCGCGCAATTCGCGGTGGATCCTATACATGCATACATACATCCCTCGACCTAGACTCGAACTTCGTGGCATACTCCTAACGTTCTTGGGTTTGGGCTCGAGCTGCGTTGTGGAGTGATACCTATTTGTATCGCGGTATTCAAGTTGAAGTTGGGCGGGATGTACATCATCATGGGGTCCCGCAGTGGGACGCACACGATCCGAATTCGGGGTGCGGTCGGGTGCAGTGTGTGGATGCGGGATGCAGAATGGAGGAGCGGCACGGTGGCACAGTGGAGGCGCGCAAATCGCGATTTGGGTCCTATACCGCCGATCTCCTTGCTATAATGAACCTACCCAGCCGCCCTCTCGCGAATATGGCGCGCGGATCCGTTCGCTCTTGCTTTGTTTTCCATTTGGAGGCTCAGGCGACTGGTATGTATCTTCACGATGCGTGCATGACGCTGCAGCCTATTTGCGTGCCCCCATCTTGCCGTCTTGTCGTCTTGTCGTCGTGGTCGTTGATCACTGTGCAAATGACGCCGCGATGAGCTCACCTCCCGCCCTGAGCCCTCCGACGGATCTCGAAGTGCCGAATGCATTAATTTGATTGCCGGGCACCGCCACGGCGCTGATTAAATTATTAGGGGCGCACGACAGCGAAAATTCTAGATTCGCCTCTACCAGTCCTTTCCCTCGGGTTCCCCTCAAAAAACTACAATTGTAAATTACAGAAAACAAGGCGCTATGCCCTCGGCCTATCCCCGAAATTGCCGGTCTCGTCACCCGCTGATGGTCGCGGCCGTCGTTACAGTTACCATTACCCTTACGAGACATACTGTAGTGACAGCACGGTCACTGTCACGGCGGAATTATCCCCGCGATGCCAATTTGTAAAAGGATACATGTAAACAGCGGACAAGACAGGAAAAAAGTCTCACCAATCCGACTTTAACCACTACCACCACCACCACCACTGCTACCCGAGTACCAGTAGCAGGGAACAGAACAGCGAACAGATCGCGCCGGCGAGTTGGAATTGGAATTACCGCCTCGTGTGCCGCACACCCCTCGTCCGCCTTGCTTTGGCCAGAATCTGAATCTCCGGTATACTCAGACTCGCCGCAATGCAGACCGCCTGTGAGTCTCCTCTTTCCTCCTCCCATTCCGTTTCCGTGTCTCCTTACTGACTGAGACACCCTTCGCTTGCTGCAGTCTCGATCCCGCTGCAGCTCCCCCCGACGCCTCCGAGCCACGCCCAGCGCACGCAGCGCCGCGCGCGCCACCGCCACACGCAGAGCCTCGGCCTGCTCTCGCCCATCCCCAGCCGCGCGAGCCTGCGCGACGACATGTCCCTCGCGTCCGACTCGTCGCACTCGCACTCGCACTCGGTCGAGAGCGAGCCCGTGCCCAGCACGCCCAGGACGACGAGCAGGAAGGCGAAGCGCACCTCGCTCCCCCCGCTCCCCGCGCTGCTCGCCAGCCTCGGCGCGCTCTTCCCCGCCGCGTCGAGTACGGCGCCGACTAGCACTACCACGACCAGCACCGCCCCGCCCTCGCCCAGCACTAGCGTGATGCACGCGCCCACGCCGCGGCGCCCGCCCGCCCCCGCGCCCTCGACCCCCTCGGCCTCGCGCTCCGAACAGCTCCTGCGCGCCGCGCTGCGCCGCGGCTCCGCGGCGTCCCCGTCGCCCTCGGCCCATTATTCTCCCACCTCCAATTTCGCGGCTTCCCCCTACCGCCCCGCGTCCCCCACCCCCACTACGCGGGAGCGTACGGCGGCGACGCCGAGGGCGGCTCCGCCCACCACCACCACCCTCAGCGCTGGCGCACACGCTCTCGCGCCTCGAGGGCCGCGCCCCCTCGCCGGCGCCCGCGTGCGACCCCGAGCACGAGGCGCTGCGGGCACGACTCGCGCGCGTGCTTGCGGGCGGGTCTGCGGCTGGGGCTGGGGAGAGAGGGTCGTTTGGGGAGCGGAGGGGGTCGTTTAGAGAGGAGGGCCAGCAGCAGCAGCGCCAACAACAGCAACAACAGCAACAGCATCAGCAACAGGACGCGCGGAGGGAAAGCCAAAGAGAACGCACGCCCCGTCCGCGCACGCCCGGGACGCCGCGCAGCTCCGCGTTGCCTGCGAGCCCGCGGACGCCGACGCCGACGCCGCGCACGCCCGTGACGCCGAGGAGGCGGACGGTGGATGACGGGCGTGGGTGGGAGGTGAGCCTTTTTTCTACACTCCATTTCTTCTTTCCCGCACTTCCTTCCTTTCCTCTCTTTTCTCTCCTTCTTTCACCCGCACCTTCTCTCATTTCTTTCATCTCACTTCCCTCCATTCGCGAACCGCGTCTCTTTTCTTTCATTTCGTTTTCCTTCCTTTCGCGCGTCCCCCTGCCCTACTCGTCCCGCGCCGCACGAGGGCCCCTCGCTCCCCGCCTCCTCTCTACGCCGAATGCGCGCGCATGCTGGATGCTACGTGCGCGTCCCGCGATGCGATGCGATGCTATGCGCGGCGTACGGCATGGGCATAGGCCCCGGGGCTGTGTGCGCCTGTGCGGCGTTTTCCGGCCGGACGGCGGGTACGGGCGTGCTCCTTTGGGGGATGATGCGGATGGGGTGTCTCAGACGCCCCTTTTGGCGGGGTGGCGCGCGGCGTGGCGGGCTTTTTGCGCCGGGTGGGCTCTTTTGCGCCGGGGATGGTGGCCGGCTTTTTGGGGGTGTATTTGCCGGGAGGCGCGCGCGCGGGTCAGCGGGGCCGGCGTGTTCCGCGGCGTGCACCCGGTTGCAGCGAGGGGATGGTGGGTGGGGGGAGGCGGCGGACGCGAGGGGACGGTGGGCGGGTCGCGCGAGCGCACTTGCGAGCCAGAGGCGAGCAAGTCTCGCCTGGCTGCGCCGCAGGCGTTCTTTTTTGTGCATCCAGCGCCCAGTCGGCGGCGGGGGCGAGCCAGCCGGTGGCCCTGGCCCGAGTTCACCCCTGCCCTCTCTCGTCTATCGCCTCATTGGCGTCTTGGCGCCGACTTGATTCATGATTGCGCGGCTTTGTGGGCGCGTGTGGGCGTGCGCCGATTCGTTTTGCGTCCCCCGATACTGGGGCGATACTCTGTTTCTTTCGGCGGGCGATACTCGGCACATGCTCGTATCGATCGCGCGACGCTCGCATCTACTCGGAATCGATCGCCTTCGTCTCGCACCGGCATCCAATGTAAAGTGGGGATGGTGGGCGGGGGAGGTGGCGGACGCGAGGGGACGGTGGGCGGGTCGCGCGAGCGCACTTGCGAGCCAGAGGCGAGCAAGTCTCCCCTGGCTGCGCCGCAGGCGTTCTTTTTTGTGCATCCAGCGCCCAGTGGGCGGCGGCGAGCCAGCCGGTGGCCCTGGCCCGAGTTCGCCCCTGCCCTCTCTCTCGTCTGTCGCGTCATTGGCGTTTTTTTGGTTTTGACCCCAACTTGTCCAATGATTGCACGGCTTTGTGGGCGCGTATGGGCGTGCGCCGATTCGTTTTGCGTCGCCCGGTACTGGGGCGATACTCTGTTTCTTTCGGCGGGCGATACTCGGCACATGCTCGTATCGATCGCGCGACGCTCGCATCTACTCGGAGTCGATCGCCTTCGTCTCGTACCGGCATCCAATGTAAAGTGGGGATGGTGGGCGGGGGAGGTGGCGGACGCGAGCATCAGCGAGCGCACTTGCGAGCCAGAGGCGAGCAAGTCTCCCCTGGCTGCGCCGCAGGCGTTCTTTTCTGTGCATCCAGCGCCCAGTGGGCGGCGGCGAGCCAGCCGGTGGCCCTGGCCCGAGTTCGCCCCTGCCCTCTCTCTCGTCTATCGCCTCATTGGGCCTCTTTGGCGCCGACTTGATTCATGATTGGGCGATTTGTGGGCGCGTGTGGGCGTGCGCCGGCTCTTGCTCTCATTTTTCATTTCGTCTTTGCGGCCTCGTCCTGTGGCGATACTCTGTTTCTTTCGGCGGGCGATACTCGGCACATGCTCGTATCGATCGCGCGACGCTCGCATCTACTCGGAATCGAGCGTCTTCGTCTCGCACCGGCATCCAATGTAAAGTGCTATCGATGCCGATCCGCGCTCTACATTCTTGCTATCCTGCTATCCTGTCCATCGCTCTCCCTCTTCCTTCCTCTTTTGTGGTCATCATCCTATTCCTTCATATGCTCCATGTTCATTGTTATCATCCTCATCATCTCTCTGCCTATCCGCGTCTATTTTCTATTTGGTGTTGGTGGCGCGGCCTAGAATCGCGAGACGAGTACCAGGATGAGTATACATAGCCTGCGTGTACGAGTACACGGTATCCCGTGTCCCGTGGCCCGAGGCCCGTGTACTTGGCTCTCAGGTCGCCGTCTCGCACCTGCGAGTTGTTCCGAGCCTTCGCACGCGGGCTTCTGCGCGATCGCGCTCCACCTGTTCTGTTCCCAAGCCTGTCTTATGTCTTCTGCTGTCTTCCTCGCTTGTCGTGTCTTCCCCCTGCTCGCATCCCCATCCACCCCTACTACCCCTCCTCTCCCTTGCGCTACCCCTTCTCATCGAGCCCGAGCACGAGCACGTCGCTGACCTCGTTTTGTTTCTGATAGAGCCCGCACGCGCCCGCACCGGCGCTTCACCACTCGCACACCACCACGACGGCCGCGCTCCACGCCCCCGCCTCGCCGCGGCGGCACACGGTGCCCCCCTCGGGGTTCCCGTCGCCCGGGTTCGCTGCTGGGGCAGCGTCGTCGCC